GAATTAAGCTATTGATAGAAGGGAAAAAAGGCAATTGCGTATGCTGGGCGTACCCTAGGTATGTTGCATGTACGAGGTTAACGACCCTGTGTCTGGTCAAGAATCGAGTATGTTGGGCGTACTCATCTAAGTTGACTCGATTGACTTTTTGAATTTGACCAGGATTTGACCAAGTTTGACCTAAGGGTATTTTGCGTATTTTGAGTTGTAGTTGATATTTGTCACTATTTGGTGTATAGGTGACTGGTATAGTTGATATCTAGAGTAATGACCTATTCAACTATCTGTTCGGACTAAGATGTGAGTTTTCCCTCACTATACTTGTGGGTCGAAGGCACCAATGCCGACCTACTAGATTATGTATCCTGGTATAGAGAATGTTTCTATGTTGTACTGATCCGTTAGATTTATGTCCTGGTATAGAGGATGTTGCTATACGGTAGTGATCTGTAGATCTACATGTTTGTCTGTTGAATGGTTATATTATTATCTATTATTGGATATATGTTATTTGTTATGTATATGTTGACATGGTATGGTGGGGTTGAGGTTGTGCTGCTTTGTGTTGTCATTCATCAAACTCAGCCAATTTAACCAGAAGGTTGTGGGTCAGGGGTAATCCAACTACGAGGTTGTGGACCTAGTATGTATTAGGCAAGCCAACTGGAAGGTTATGAGCCGGAGCATTCCAACTTGAAGGTTGTGGGCCAGGGGTAATCCAACCAGGAGGTTGTGGACCCAGTATTTGTTTGGTTATATGTTTGTGTTGTGGTACTTTACGGGAACACACTAAGTTTTGACTTACAGTTTCGGTTTATTGTTTCAGGTACCTCAGATGATTGTGGCAATGTGAAGGCATGATCATGCATATCCTTCGAATTTTATGTTATCTGGATTTTGGGATACTATGATTATTGATTATCACTTTTGAAACATTTTTTGTAAACAATTATGGTCATTGGGCTGTTTTTGAAAAATGGAAATTTTACTCTGATTTTTGGGACGTTACAAATTAGTATTAGAGCCCTGCTTTGAGAGAATTGAATGAGCTTTCGTGCGAATCCAGACTCAAACTAAGGATATGTAAAAGTTTTCAAAAGTAACCAAGGAAGGATGAGATGTGTAGGATCAACCAAGGCACGAAAAGTATACCCCAAGTTACCACACTTCTATTTTTTATTGATGATTATGATAGAACTACATGCTAGTGGTAGGTTAGGGATCTCCAGGAATTGCATGATAGATTTATTTGATATATGATGTCTGAGAGCGTAGGACTTCTTATGTGCTAGATGTAATTGTCATCATTACTGCAGTTGCTTAGCATATGCATGTAACGTCCCAAAAACAGTGATAAAAATTTTCATTTGGAAGTTTCTCAAATCATAGACAAATTGTTCAAATTCAATCACCCATATATAATATTCAAAACACCATAGTACAATTATTTAGAATGCGGAAATCATAAGGGGAGGATGGTGTGTCGTCACGTCGGGCCCTTCCCTCTAAAAGAAATACTCATCAAGGTTGGAGCTTTATACCTCCAAAAGATGCACAAAGGAAGTAAATGTTGGATCCAAGGCCTTGAGTGAAACACCACAACCTCAAGGTTCTTCTTTCTTCTCCAAAAGCTCCAAAATGTCACCAAAAGGCTCTTCAAGCTTCATGAGGCACTCATACACTTTAGGGTTTCAAAATAAGGAAGGAGGTTGAAGATAAGAGTGTGCATGAGGCCATAAAGATGCTTAAATGGGTAAAAACCCTAAAAATTAGGGTTTGCACCCTAGCTACGTACGCCGAGCGTACTAAGAGTACGACCAACGTACGCACACAAGGATAAAATTACGGAAAGGCCATTGGGGACCAATCTTGCAAACAAATAATAATCCAAGGATCAAACGAGAGTACCTAAAAAATTAGATGTTACAACTTGCCCCCACTTGAACTAGACTTCGCCTCGAAGTCTACTACTGTGAATAAATCAGGGTAGTGCTCTCTCATTTCCGCCTTAGACTCCCATGTTCATTTAGAACCTTTCTGATGTTGCCACTGGACCTTGACCCGTGACAATTCTATGTTGCGTAGAGCCTTCGTATTCCGATCCAAGTCACCACCAATCTCTCCATATAATTCAGGCGATCATCAACCTGAATGTCATCTAAAGGAACCACTGTAAACTCATCGTCCACACACTTCCAAAGTTGCAAAAAGTTTGGACTTTAACTAAAAAACTCTTTACTGGAGGGGATGAAACTGCCAAAGAGTAAATTTTGAGCTAAAAACATCACTTAAACAAATCTATGGGTCAAAAATGACAAGAAAATGGTTTAAGGGTCAAAAATGTCTTTTTTTACGGACTAAAATTGTCATTTTTATTAAAGAAGGGCTGAAAAGGTCAAACCAATATTTTGAGCCAATTATTTTATTATTAAGATATTTGAGTCAAAAATACCAAACTACAACTTATGAAAATAGAAAGATAAATATACATATAATTCCAAATATCGTTATAAACAACCGATCGGCCTCGTGCCGTTACGAAATTAACAATCGTTCAATCAAACTTTCCAACAATTATACTATACCTAAAACAAGTAACTATTCAAATCTTTGGGCTTGAAAGTCTCTAATCATGCTTATTGGGCCTTCATGACCCATTAACATAACTTTTGAGCCCAACGATAAAAAAATAAATGTTTAGTGGGCCTACGGTGACCCAATTACATGCTTAAGGGACCCTTAATGCCTTTCACGCGCTATTGGGCCTTGATGGCTCATTAGCATTGCTAGTAAGGTCCAAATAAATCAAAATATAAAATGAGCCAACGTGTCCTTCATATACCCAACAACCTTAAATAATACACAGAATTAGCAGGACCTTGTAATCCTCTTCTCCTTGTTTGTAAGGCTTACCTTCATTTCAGTAAACAAATACAGGTTGTCAATCAATAGTAATCAACTTTATTTTGGATTTAGTGAGTAATAACAGGCGGCACCTTTATGGGTCGTTTGTAGTCTGTAGTTATAATCAAAGTTTCCTGGAGGGAGACCGAGAGTTTATGTATATATCTATATGGGGGTGACTCCCCCACACCTCAGCTGTTTGCTACAGTTAGACTCGGCCAGTCTAGGGTGACAAAATCTTAAGATCAATTTCGGTGTTCGCTAGAATGCCAAGACAGATGAACTAGTCATTATCATGCTTGGTTATAACGACTCACATAAATAAATCCAATGCTATCTGAGTAATCAAGGGAGTTCAAAAATCATCTGTTGTGACGGTATAACAATTCGAATCGATTATATTATGTTATCGGAAAACATCGGGTTTTTTTAGGAAATCAACACCATTTACTTGTATTTTCAATGACTATAATGCAAAACTTCTCATTTATACACGTTTTGAAATCATTCATGCATAGACCTATGGATCTTCACACTTTAGTATAAACAATTGTCTTTTGAGAAAATATCGGATTTTCTGAGTTTTACAAACTGCACAAAACATTTTCATAACAACCCTACATATGAACTCACCAACATTCCATATGTTGATGTTTTCAAAATAACTTGTATTCTCAGGTAACAGGTAAGCTGAAGAGTAATACCAAGTATGTTAGGATGTCATGTTTTGAAAAGTTTCAAACAATTTATGTTATGGAAATGTAATATTTAAACAATGTACTTGATGTGAATAATGTCAGTTTTAATGTATTAATGCATGGTGATGTTTATGTTATGTTTCATGTATATTCATTGTGATGATATTCAATTTAAGTCACGCGAGCCCTCGGACGTTTCCGCCGTCTGGTTTGGGGGGTGTGACATAAGTACCTTTTCAATGTAATAAGACTGTGAAATTGAGATTCCTTGATGTGTGTGTGTATATTGTGTATTTTATCTCAAGTAGCTTGGTTAGATGGTTAAGTTGCTTGACATTTGTTGAAATGAGATCCTCCCTTTTTTGAAATTTGACTTTGTCCAAGTAGTGTTTTATTCTGCCAGTAAATCCTACTATCCCACATTGATCACACTATAAAACCTACACCAAGTTCATCTTATATAAAGTGTTACTCATTTCCTTTTAATTCCAAAGTGGGAGTAGTCCCACACCGGGTGGGGTAAGAAGCACTTGCTAGTTGAATCCTTAATACAATGATATTTTTCCTCATTGATCGTGGCTTAGCTATATTTTTTGTTTCGTTTTTTTTTTGTTGGACCGAACCAAAGATATGGACCTGGCCAACTGCATAATACCTTGACTAGACCAAGTCAGATAAAAACGTCTAAGTCAGATAAAAACATCTAACCAGACCCGATCAACACCAAATCAAACAACCCCTTAGTTAATGTTTGGGGTGTTTATTTCACATTGTAACCATTCAATTAAGAGGTAATCTCCAAAACGTTAAGCATTCAAGGTGTTTGTTTTGCAACGGCCGCACCTCAAATTTAATATGTAACATATACTTTACTCTTTATGTACTATTACTAAGAGATTTATGCTACTTATATGGTAACAATGACTAAAAGTAACAATAACATTACATGCAATATGGTATTCTAAAGATGTTTTGATTATTCCGGACTTGTTCTACATATTTCGGACTAAATAAAAACGTTTATAGACATAAATGCAAGTACATTAATCACTAAAACTATTATTGTTCATTGAATACATGATAGAAAATACACAAAATATTCTATATCTAGGTTACAAGATTTCGGTATCACCATTGTCGGGAATGTTTTGTGCAAGATGTATGGTATCTTTAAATGTGTCATCATATATATACATTTGGGCCCAGGGGCGGATGTGTGTGGTGCCCGGGGGGTCCCGAGCCACTGCTCCGCTTCGATCCGTAAGGGTAAAAAAAATTCTATTAGGTGCACCGGCTTCAAATTTGTTCAGGTGACAATATACTTTCGAGGCCCATAAAATATTAAGTGTAAAAAATGCTAGTCCAAAAAACATAAAGAAAATTAGCCCATTAGCATAAATGCATTGTGAGTGGCCCAAGTTTCTTTTTAAGTTTTTAACCCAATTGACCCACATACCCACTCATTACCCAATACCCATCTTAGCCAAAGAAAAGAAAAGGATATCGATCCTGAATAGAAAAAAAAAATCGGCACAACACCTCTGTGAAACGTGCGAACAACGAACGAGCCAACGAGAAGAGGAAAAAAATCAGCCTCCTTTCCTGCCTCCATTCAATCGATTTTGCTTGGCTTGGCTTCACAATCCTTTCAAACCTACAAATACAATGAAACAAGTAAGTATTGATAATTTTAGGTTTATGAAATTAGTCAAATTAGTTGCTTTTTTGTTGAACTTTCTTATTGTTTAGGTGAAATTAGTAGTTGTTAACCTTGAAATTACATGTTTACTTGTAACTTGTTGTTAGAATGTTAGATACTTAGATTGTTAACCTTGAAATTATTCAAATTAGTTTGTTTTCCATTGAGTTTTTGAACAATTGGATGGCTTATTTGTTTGATATTGAATTGTTAGGATAAAATTAGGTCCTTTTTTGGAAGAACAAGCATCAATAAATCGAGTGTTAGAGAATCCTCAAAAAGACCATGCTCCAATGATTTAAGTTTTGAAGAATCCTCTAAAAGACCATGTCCTTCTAATCAATCATTCCCTTCAGTTTCTAATGTAAATCCACAACCTACAACTACTCCAATTACAATTGTTGAATTGAAAGATCTTCCAAGAGACCCGGGTGTTAGACCAAAGATTACAACTTACCATCCAAATCAAAGAGATGAAATAAGGAGGGCATATTTGCTTCATGGACCATGTCAACCAAGGGGTCATACATTCCTTTCAAAGAAAATAGGTTCAAAAGAAAGACGTTTTGTTGTTAAGTGGTTTGATGACTTTGATTGGTTAGAATATAGCATAAAAGAGAACAAAGCATTTTGTTTATTTTGCTATGTATGTGGAGACATGGTGGGAAAACAACTTGGGAGAGATGCATTTGTTTCACAAAGTTTTGATAGTTGGAATAAAAGACAGTCATTAAGAGATCATATGGGTGGTATTGATAGTTTTCATCACAAAGCAAAAGAAAATTATAAATTTTTATTGAAAGAAAAACAATCTATTAGTGCAACCTTCAAGAAGCAAACCAAGATTGAGGAGAGTAATTATAAACTTCGTTTAGGTGCTTCAATTTGGTGTTGTAATTTTTTATTGAAAAATGGTTTACCATTTCGGGGTCATGATGAGTCGAGTGACTCTCTTAATAGAGGGCTTTTCTTGGAGTTATTATCTTTCTTAAGAGACCATAATGAAGGCATCCGCAATGTTACCTTAGAAAATGCTCCTCAAAATAATCAAGTGACGTGCCCGAGGACTCAAAAGCAAATTGTTGAATGCTTTTCAACAAAGATAGTTGTAGATATTTGCAAAGAAAGTGGTAAAGATGTGTTTTCTTTATTGGTTGATGAATCTAGTGATGTATCAAAAAAAGAACAAATGGCCATAATTTTGAGGTATGTCGACAATTGTGGAGTGGTGAAGGAGAGATTCATTGGAGTGGTGCATGTGAAGGATACATCCTCTTTGACTCTTAAAGCTGCCATAGATGACGTTTTTACCCGTAACAGTTTGAGTGTGTCCCACGTAAATATAACAACTTTTTATTCCTTATTATGAATTTTAATTGAATATTATTCGAGTTAATGTTTAATATCTTTTTTTATCAGGTAAGAGGACAAGGTTACGATGGGGCAAGCAATATGCGAGGGGTAGGGTTGTAAACGAACCAAACGAACACGAACAAGGTCTTGTTCATGTTCGTTCGTTTAAGTTAGCCGAACAACAAACGAACACGAACGGATAAACGAACGAGATTTTCTTGTTCATGTTTGTTCGTTTAACAAATTACTTTGTTCATGTTCGTTCATTTATGTTCGTGAACATGCTAAATGAACATAAACGAACAAAGATAAAAAAAACACAATTGAACATATATGAACATAAACGAACATATAATATAGAAATATAATAAAAAATAACTGAATATAGATGAATATAAATAAACTTAAACGAACGAACATAAACGAACGTAAATGAACATCATAAACGAACGTTCACGAACATAAATGAACGAACGAGACCATTATTCATGTTCGTTCATTTAACTAAACGAACGATAATCTTTGTTTATGTTCGTTCATTTATTAAATAAACGAACTTCCCGCCGAACAGTTCACGAACGGTTCGCCAAACGTTCAGTTCGTTTACAGCCCTAGCGAGGGGCATTTAATGGTCTAAAAGCTTTGATTTTACAAGAAAATGATTTAGCGCATTATGTGCATTGCTTTGCACACCAACTTCAGTTAGTTATTGTGGGTGTAGCAAAGAAGCATGATGGTGTGGACGATTTCTTTGAGCAACTTTCTTTGGTGGTTAATGTGGTAAGTGGATCATGTAAAAGACAAGACATGCTACGAGAAAGTCAAAGAGAAAGGGTGCAATTGTCAATTGCAAATGGTGAACTTGCAACTGGAAGAGGGTTAAATCAAGAGAGCTCGCTTATTCGAGCGGGAGATACAAGACGGGGTTCACATTTCAAAACCATCATAAGTTTGATGAACTTATTTCCGGAGGTTCGTCATGTTCTTGTTTATGTCGAAGAGGAATGATCCACTTTAAGTAACCGAAATCAAGCATTTGGTATCTTAAAATATTTCAAGACATTAGATTTCGTGTTTTACTTACATTTGATGTATGAAATTTTACATCTCACAAACGTGTTGTCAAAGCATCTTCAAAAAAACGATCAAGATATTTTAGAAGCGACTTCTTTGGTTAGAGGGACAATGGACGCATTGAAGTCTTTGAGAGACACGGGTTTTGCTAAACTTTTATTGAAGGTATTCTCTTTTTGTCAAAAACATGATATTAATATTGTGGAGATGACGGAAAATTATGTCACATCAAGAGGTCGTAAGACTAAAGTTACTAATCAATTTCATTTTGAAGTTGAAATTTTCAACACCGTTATGGATATGCAAATTATAGAATTCAAGGATCGATTTAGTGAACTTAACACTCAGTTACTAGAATACATGGGGGCTTTGAGTCCTTGTGATTCATTTGCTAAATTTGACAAAACAAAGTTGTTAAAGTTGAGTGAGTTATACAAAAAAGATTTTGATGATGCGGAGAGGATGCAACTTGATGGTGAACTTGAAATATATTATCACGCTTTATATAAAGATGACCGGTTCACTAGTTTGCAAGGAATTTCCGACCTTTCTCGTTTGATGGTGGAAACGTGGAAACATCGGTCGTATCATATGGTTTATAGGTTGTTGGAGTTGGTTTTGGTTTTACCCGTTGCAACCGCAACAGTCGAAAGATGTTTTTCAGCGATGAAGTTGTTGAAGACGGATTTACGTAACAAAATAGGTGATGATTTTTTGAACGATGTCATGATTTCTTATGTTGAAAAAGAAGCGCTTATGAAAGTGAAGATCGAAGATGTAATGGATCGGTTTCAAAACATATGTATCCATAGATATCAAATTTAAATATTAAGATGTAATTGATCGGTTTGATGTATTAGTATTTTTATTTTTTTTTTATGTTATTTACGAAAAAAAAAATTACCACTGCTTTGGGCTACATTAATATTAGGCTTAATCCGTTTTTCCACAACTAGAGAATGTCCATTAACTGTGTAGTGGTTGATTATTATGCCAAATGGGTTGAGTTGATTTTGTCATTTTCTTTTTTATTTAGTCATTAGAAAAATATCTTATTTAGTGGACATATATATCCTCATTTTCTATATAATTGTTCAAGCAATATATTGTCCAGATGAAAAGGTAAATAACTAAATACCATAAGTTTTATTATTCCAGATATATTTTTCTGTTTTTCTTTTTCAAAGAAGAAGGTGAGTGATTCCCTTTATTGAAACTACACTAACTTTACATGGAAAAGAAAAACGTAAAATTCGCCAAATTCCTACACTCACATAGCAACTTTGCAAGCTGCAACCAGACCTTCCTTCCTATCTTCATCAATGGAAGTCTTCAAGAATTCAAGCCAACCCCACAAGCTTCTCACTTATCTCCCATACCTTACGAGCTTTACTCACATCACTTGCTTCTTCAGACAACTGATTCTCAAAAGAAGCAGAATCCTTGTTCCAGCTCCAATACACACCAGACTTCGTCAAGCTCGGATCACTCACAACCTGCACCATGAATTCCTTCATTAATCCACAAAAATGGAGAGAAAACAAGCACCCTTTTGAAGAAAATCGATCAATCGATCTGTATCAATTATAACCTGAATCTTTATTCACGTACCTGTGCAAGTCGTTTGCCGGATTCTTCCTCGGAGACATACCCTTTCGTGAAGAACTTCTGGAATGCAGGGAACAGCAACCGGAAAAGTGGAATGTGTTCCCGGAACAATCCGTTGGTGGCAATGCAACCGGGATATAACGATGAAAATGTAATGCCGGTTTCTTCATGGTATCGCCGGTGAAACTCTTGCATGGTGAGCATGTTACAGATCTTACTATCTATATACGCTTTTGCACCGTCGAAATCGCCGCCGTCAATCATGG